TGAAATAGGAAGAAAAGGTCCAAAGGTGTAGGGGTGGTGGGAGGGGAAGGGGAAAGGAAAGAAGGAAAAATTACGAGAAAAGAAAAAAAATGGAAACAAAGTCTATGTAAATAGGGAAGCATGGAGGGGTGAAGGGTGCACAGGTAATGGGGGAAAAAATAAGAACCACGATACATCATGTACAGGTACAAGCACCTAATGATAAATGTAAACGTGTTGTATACCTAAAATGTACCAATAAAAGGATTTAAGAAAAAAAAAAGTTGCGGGTAAGTGTTTGTGTTGTTCTGCTATAAAGGTTTTTCTGCAGGCTGGGGATTTATCTCAGCGGTTCCGCAGCCTGCCTTGCAAGTGCAAGGATCCAAGTTTGATCCCCGGTACCCAAAAAAAAAAAAAAAAAGTTTTTCTGCCACAGACGCCCAAGTAGTTACAGTATGTGGAACCAACACAAGGAAGAGAATATTCTAGAAAGAATCTCCTTCTTGTTTGCCATCTATCAATTCCTTATTTCATATTTGCTTTACATAATGATTATATTCATAGTGAGGAGTTGGTACATGTACATAACACATCTTATTTCTCTTTACTTCCCTTTCCCCTCCCCTACCGCTAGTTTTCCTTCCTCTATTTTTTACACTGTACCTACGTCTGCTCTAAAACTAAGCTATGTGCAGTTAAGAATAGAATGATTCATAGAACTCTTTAACAATTGCTTCGAGAAAGATTATAAGATTCCTGGGAGTGTGATAAATTAGATAAACTGAAAACTCTTCCCTCAAAATGCCAAGAAATGATAGATAAAAATTCTTTAAATTCTTCTTGTGCATATCTCATCTTTCAATAAAGTAAGCAGAGTTGTCAAAAACCAAAAGCAAAGATGGAATAGAGAACTAGAACAAGTAAAATCAGAGATGATATTGAGCTGCCACAGAGGGACTTTTCTCTAATACAGAGGCTTGGGTTTTAACACCGAAGACCGCATTAGTGAAAGAGAAGACAAAAAGACCAGTGTAATAAAATAAAGCCACCAAACTAACCCTTTCATGTCAGGACTCTTCACATATGACAGATGTGGCATTGCACATCATAAAAATAAACTTCAATATTTGATGCTAAGGCAATGGGCTATGATATAGGAAAAATAAAATTAGATCCTTACTTTATATCACTCACAAAAATAAATTCCTTAGGAATTAAAACTCTACGTGTTTAAAAAAATTTAAAACATTAAGTTTTTAGAAGCAAATACAAGGCATTGTGTTTTTCTACCCAATGGGTATTTTCTTAAACAGAAAACAAAAGGAAACAGAAAAGGAAACCATTTCTATTTTTGGCTACGTTAAAATGTAAAACTTCTGGTAACCAGTCATCTTTAACAAAGTGAAACAAAAAAATGTGAAATGGCATGACAGAAGGTAATTATTAAATAAAAGGCTAATATGTAGAAAATATTAGGGACAATTAAAATCAATAGGTAAAAGAGAATATAGCAATAGAAAAATATAAAGGAGATAGACAGATATATTAATCACTTTTCCATGGCTGGGACAAAATTCGCAACACCTGCAACTTAAAGGGGGAAAAGTTTGTTTTAGTTCACAATTTCAGAGTGTTCAGCCCATGGCTGGCTGGCTCCAAAGCAGAACTGGCATGGTAGAAGAACATGGCAGGGGAAAGTTGTTTAATCCATAGTAGCGAGGAAGCAAACAGAAAAAAGGAAGCAGCCAGAAATAAGAGCTCACAGCCCTAAAGTGACCCAACTCTAATTATTTCCCACTTCCTAACAGCACATTCAACTATGAACTTATGAGTGGATTAATCTACTGATGTGTATTGTGCCATCATGACCAAATCACTTTCCAAAAGCCTCACCTTTAAAAACAAGAGACTTTTGTGGGACATTTTAGATTGAAACTGTTATGGCTTGTATCTAGATATCCCCTCAAGCCTCATGTGCTCAGAGATGGTGCTTTTCAGAGGTGGCTGGATCTAGGATATGTGATACTGGGATTAAGGGTGTGTGGTACTGGGTTAGTCCACTAATTAGTTTATCACAGTTCTGGATGTGGATAATGGGAAGGCCCACCCTGCGTGTGGGTGGCATCACCCAAAAGGCTTGTAGTCTGGATGGGATAAAATGAAAAGAGATGCCTGCCTCCCTGCTCTGCTATGAACTGTTTTTCCTCTGTGATGTCCCTCTGCCATTCGGCCTTGCCTTGAGCCAGCTGACTAAAGGCTGAAACCTCTACAAACTGTGAACCAAAATAAATCTTTCTTTCTTTAACTTTGGGTATCAGGTATTTTGTCTCAGCAATGAGAAAAGTAACTAAGACAGAAATCATAACATTCTGCCCCACCCCCTAAAAGCTTCATGTCTATTTCATTATGCAAAATACATTTTGTCCATCTCATTATGCAAAATGCACTTGTCCCTCTCAAAGAGTCACCAAAGTCTTAACAATTCCAGCATTGCTAAAAAGATTGTCCAATGTCTCCTCTGAGACAAAGCAAACTCTTGGGTGTGAGCCCTGTAACAATAAAAAAGGAAGTTAAATACTTCCAATATACAATGGCACAGGATAAACAGCCCCATTTCAAAAGGGAGGAATTAGGGGATGGAAAGAAATAAGACCAAAGCAAGACCAAACATCTGCAGGGCAAATATTAAATCCTGTAGCTCCATGTTCAGCACCTGGGGCAAGCTGCAGTGAGATATGAGTTCCAAAGGGCTCAGCAGCCCTGCCTGTATGGACTTGCTGGTTGCAGCCCCCAAGGCCTTTCTCCTGAGCTGGCTCTGCTCACTGCCTGCAGTTTTCCTCGACAGGTGGTCCTGGTTTTTCCAACTTCCTGGGCTCTCCAATCTCATTTTCACAGTTTTAAGCATTACTGTTTCATGACCCCTCTAAGGCCTTCCTTTGAAATGTGGGTGGAGGCTTCCATGACCTCATAACTCTTGCAATCTGCATATCTCCAGAAATAGCACTAAGTGCATGATGCCGATGATAACAGCTACTAGTTGAAGTCCTCTACAATGAAAACTACAGTATTCTGAAAAAAAGGTGATCAAAGAAGATATTAGAAAATGGAAAGATATCCCCTGTTCCTAGATAGGAAGAATTAATATTGTCAAAATGACCATCCTTCTAAAACTGATATATAGATTGAATGTGATCTCAACCAAAAATACATTCCTTACAGCATTCCTTACAGAACTAAGGAAAACAATACTAAAATTCATGTGGAACCAGAAGAGATCCAGAATAACAAAAGCAAATCCTGCGCAACAAGAACAAAGCAGGCGGCATCACAATCAAGAATTTCACATTATATTACAAAGCTACAGTAGATCAATGCAACAGAATAGAGGATGCAGAAACAATCCCAGACATATTCAGCTATCTGACAGAGAGGCCAAAAACATAAAGTGGAGAAAGGACAGCATTTAATTATTTATTTATTTATTTATTTATTTATTGAGACAGGGTCTTGCTTTGTAGTTCAGGATGGCCTTGAATTCTCTATGTAGCCCAGGCTGGCCTGAAACTCATAGCAATCCTCCTGCCTCAGCCTCCCAAGTGCTGGTATTACAGCCGTGCACCGCCACACCTGGCAGGATAGCCTTTTAAATAAACGGCACTACATACCCGGTCCGGATTGTAGCTCAGTGGCACTGTGTCTGCCTGGCAAGCGCAAGGTCATTAGTTCAATCCCTGGTACTGGAAAAAAGAAAAGCAAATAAATAAATGACATTGGGAAAACTGGCTATCCACATGCAGAAGATTGAATCTAGACCCATATCTCTCATCATCTACCAAACTGAAATTAAAATAGAACAAAGATCTAAATGCACACAGCAGAAATCTGCTGGAAGTTAAAATTCTAAAGACCAAGGCACAGGCAAGGACTTTCTGGACAAAACCCCAGTCACACAAGAAATAACATCAACAATCAACAAATGGGATCATAGCAAATTAAACAGTTTCTGCACAGCAAAGGAAACAACCAACGGAGTGAAGAAACAAAATGTAGAACTGGAAAAAAGTTTACCAGCTATTTCTGAGACAGAGGACTAATATCTAGGAAATATAAAGAACTCAAAAAAAATTAGACCCCTGACAAAATAAAAACCCAATCAAAAATGGGCAAGAAATAAATAGACACTTCTCAGACGAAGTACAAACAGCGAATAAGTACATGAAGAAAATGTTCTACATCTCTGGCCATTACAGAAATACAAATTAAAACAATATTGATATTTCATTTTACTCCAGAAAGAATGGCTATCATCAATAAATCAAATAATAACAAATGTTGGAAAGGCTGCCTGGAAAAAGGAACACTTTTACATTGTTGGTGACAATGTAAAGTACTAGTACAACCATTATTGAGATCAGTATGGAGATTTCTCAAAAAAGTAAAGCTAGAAATTCCATTTGACCCATTATTCCCCTTCTAGGTATCTTCTGGAAAGAGTTTAAAACATCATATTATTATAGACAGCCACGTTAGATAGAAATTAATAGGCAGTCAGATATGGATTGGGCCCTTTAGGGGGTCAGTGCAGAAGATGAGACATCGAAATTGCCAGCTGGAAGCACAGTTGCAGAGAGCCAGGTGTACAAGCCAGCTTGAGATTATACTGTAATTAGCACCATCTGGTCCTTCAAGACTTGATAAGGCATCAGATGCACAGGTAGGTTATCGGAACACGTGACCCATATTTTCATTCCTTTCCTGAAATGCCTTTGTTCTTCCTGCTTAGAAGTTATAGATAAACTAAAGTTAATGATGCCTACCTTATACCGTTGGTTTGTGCCTCTCTTTTCTATTGGACCAACATTATGAAAACAACTATACCTGTAATCCTATTGATTGATTAACGTTTGATCCATAGTTACCCAAGTTGTAATTTTGCTACATAAAATGCCCTTGACAAAAGCCTCAGTAGCAACTCACTTTTGGGACCTCCTGCCTCTCAGGAGCTTTCTCTCAGTAAACTTTTCCTACTCTCTCTCTCTTTCTCTCTCTCTTTTTTTTTTTGGTACCGGGAATCAAATTCAGAACCTTGCACTTGCAAGAAGTTGCCACTGAGCTAAATCCCCAGTCCACTTTTCCTATTCTTAACCTCTTTTGTTCTTGTATCCTTTCTTTGGTACTGGGATACATGAACCATGGACTACTAGACTGCCATAAAGAAGGATAAACATGAGTTATTTGTAAGAAAATGGATGTACCTTGAGACCATAATATTAAGTGAAAACAATCAGTTACACAAGCTTAAAATATTGCACAGTTTCTCTTATATGAGAATCCCAAAATATAAATATAGAACAAAATAAAAGGTAAATAATAGGAAATAGAAATAGATCTTTTGCCAAAGGGAAGGGGACCAAGACATGGAGGGAGGAAGGAGGAAGAGGAAGGGAATGCAATGAAAAAAGAGTTAAGATGTGTTACATACCAACTCCCCATAATCAATGTAATCATTACATTTTGCAGAAATTTACTAATAAAAATGAAAATTGAAAATAAAAAGTAAGTTAACAAAATAAAGCCCTCAACATTATGTCTGTCATTCACTAAAGAATTTTTCAGGCATATAAGCATATAGCCAAGTGGAAAAATAATTCACAGAAGCAAACAAATAAATGACCAAGCTAATGGAATTAGCTGACAAATAATTTAAAAGAGACAATATACGCTATATAAATATGATCAAAGATGTAAAGTAAAATAAACATGATGAGGGCCAGGGATTTAGCTCAGTGGTTCCAGCACCTGCCATGGAAGGGCAAGGTCCCAAGTTCTATCCTTGGTACCAAAAATAAATAAATAAATAAAACATGATGAGAAGAGAAATGGGTGATATAAAAGACTCAAATTAAAGTTTTTTGAATGAAAACTATAATATCTGAATTAAAAAATACACGGGATGACTAAATAGTAAATTAGATTGTGAAGAAGAAAAGACAGGGGAATTTGAATATACAGTGGTGCCTTGGTTCATGAATTTAACTTGTTTTACAATCTTGGAATATGGCCACTTTTTTTTGTACCAGGAATTGAACTCAGGACCTTGTGTTTGCCAGGCAGGCACAGTGCCACTGAGCTACATCCCCAACCCTGGGCCATATTTGTGTTTATGGGGGAAGATGGCTGTGGTTGTTTGTCACTCAATGTGGAGTTTGTGAACAGAACCAAAATTTTATCATATGCTTTTGAGAACTGAATTGTTTGTGAACAGAAGCATTATTGGAATTATTGTATAGCAATGGAATCTATCCTAAATGCAGAGGAGAAAAGAGACTACAAAAATACAAAAAGGGCTTCAGTTACTTATGGAACAATTCTGTGTAAAGCATACATGAATGCAATTGGAATTTTGGAAAAAGAAAAATGCTACATAAAAATATTTGAAAAAATAAAGACTGATATATTTCAAATTCAAGTAACTATTAATTCACAGATCCTCAAAACTCAACAAATCAAAAATAATGAAAATGGCAACAAAATATATCATAATGTAGTTGCTAAAAAACAGTGATAACCTTAAAGGCAACCAATGAAAAAAATGTTGTTACAGGGCCAGGGGTTTAGCTCAGTGGTGCCGCTGCCTCCTCACAAGCGCAAGGTCCCAAGTTTGATCCCCGGTACCAAACAAAAAAATGTTACAAGTAAAGAAGTAATGATAAGAAATACAACAGAGTTCTTATCAGAAACTATGTGAGTTAAATGTCAATGGAGGAACATTTTTAAAGAATGGAGAGGAAAAAAATCTGTCAGCCTAAAATTCTATCAAATAAGTCCTGGGAGAAATAATCTCCAGTATATCTGCACTACAATAAATATTAGAGGAATTTCTTCAGACAGAAAGAAAATGATTCCAGATGGAGATATGAATCTACATGGAGGAATGAAGAACACCATAACTGCTGAATATGTGGGTTTATATAAAGATATTTTCCTAAATTGTTAATCTCTTTAAAAGATAATTATTTAAAGCAAAAATAATAATGTATTTTGGGATATATATAATATATATAGAAGTAAATATATGACAACAGTGGTACAAAGGATGGCAGAAGAAAAATAGAAGTATACTTTTGTACACAATGGAAAGATACTTGATAAACTTATATTGCATATACCTTTTCACCCAGCAGTTACACTCATGAGGATGTATCCTAGAGAAACTCTCCCTAAGCAAACATCACAGGAAATCTTTATTGCAGCGTTGTTTCTAAATAGTAAGAAAGTTATAAACTAAACTGAGAATGGGTAATTAAAATTTGGAATACTAATATAAGAAAATATGCAACAGTTAAATGAGTTAGTTATGTGTGCTAAGTAAATGAGCCTTAAAAACATGATAATGAATTAATAGATACAGGGCTTCCTTTTGGTGTGATTAAAAATGCTTTGGAATTATCTAATGATGATGATTGAACAATATTGTGAATTTATTAAATGCCATTGAATTGTATACTTTAAAATGACAAAAATGGGGAGGGCCAGGGATTTAGCTCATTGTTTTCGGCACCTGCCTCACAAGCACAAGGTCCCAAGTTCGATCCCAAGTACCCAAAAAAAAAGAAAAAGGGATGTAGCTCAGTGGCACTATGCCTGTCTGGCAAACTCAAGGTCCTGAGTTTGATTCCCAGTACTGAAAAATAAATAAATAAATAAATGACAAAACTGTGAATTTCATATTATGTGAATATTATTATCTAAGTAAAACATTGAGTACAAAGAGTTTAAAATATGTGAAATAAGTTGTACTGTAAAAATAAATATATTCCTAACTATTACACTTAACATAATACATGTGAGTAACTCAAACTTGTGAGTATCCCTGGAGAGAGAAGGAAAAAGAGTGGGATTACAGAGAGGAAAGCTGGGTGCTACGACTGACTCCATTGCTATTCACCTAACATGAATTTACTAAGGAACATCTGACACAGTAGACCACACTTGCCTCCCAGAAAAATTGCCTTCATTGCGTTCTGTGATTCCACTTCTAAGTGAAATGGTGCACTTAGTGATTCTCCCACTCGCTGCTATCACTCTGTGCCTTGATAGTTCCACTTCTCCTGGCCAGGCATTGCCAGAGCAGGGCCAGCAACATTTTTCTGTAAAGGTCAAAGAGTACATGTTTCCTATTTTGTGGACATAAAGTGTCTATCACAATGACTCAACTCTGCCACTGGTGTGTGAAAGGAGCTACAGACTTTACAGAAATGAATCAGGATAGTTGTGGCTCAATCAAACTTTTTGTTTAAATGAAAATAGGCAAAATAGGCAGCAGTCCAGATTTGGCCTACAGACCATAGTTTGCCGACCTCTGTTATAGGCAATGAAATACATTAGTGAACAAAGCAATAAAAATAAAACAAAACAAAAAACAAACAAAGAAGAAACTCTGTCCATATGTTCTTACACTTTAGAGGAAGGAGACAATGCAGATAGTATGCCAATAAATTTTATCATATAATAGAAGGTGATATAAGTGCTGCAAAGAACAGACTGAAGTGAACTGGGGGTGACAAGAGGGTGTGCATGGTGATTGCCACTTAAATAGTATAGCCAGGGAGGTCCTCGTTGCACAGTGACATTAGAACAAGATCTGTGAGGCTGAGCATGATGGCATGTGCTTTTAATCTTAGCTATTCAGAAGGCTGAGGCAGAGGGTAGCAAGTTTGGGACCAGGCTGGGCAATTTAGCAAGCCCAGACTTGGACTCTGTTTCAAATTTAAAAATTTTTATTTTAACTAGGTACGGTAGTACATGCCTGTAATCCCAGCACAGTGGGAGACGGAGGTAGGAGAATCACAAGTTTAAGCCCAGCCTGGGTGACTTAGTGACTTTAGAAAAATCAAGATCCTGTCTCAAAATGAAAAATAAAAATAGGCTGAGGACATAGCTCAGAGTGGAGGCCTTGAGTTCAATTAACAGTACAAAAAAATAAAAAATAAAAAATGCTGGATAAGCTAGGCATGGCGGGTGACGCATGCCTATGATCCCAGAACTCAGTGAGGTTGAGGCAGGAGGATACCCAGGAGTTCAAGGCCAGCCTAGGCTTATGTAGTGAGTTCAAGGCCGGACTGAAATAGAGAGAGAGACCGTCTCAAAAAAACAAAAACAAAACAAACAAAAAAGTACTAGAGCTATAGCCCTGTGCAATCTAGGTTCAATCCCTAACATGGCCAAGAAGATTTGTGAGCTCTGCAGTTAGCTAGATGAAGAGCATTCTAGGCAGAAGACACTGCAAGTGCAAAGCCATGAGAACGCAGTATATCTGGCATTCTTGAACCACAAGGAGGCCAACATAGCTAAAAGAATGTGAAAGGGCAGATGAGGTCAGAGAAGTAACCAATCCAGGACTTGTAGGGTCTTTTAAACACTTGAAAATTTTGAGTATAACTTTCAGAGTAATGTGTTTTAAGCAGATAAGTGATATGATCTGCAGGATGATTATGACTGATTTCTTGCGAGTAGGCCCTAGGAAGAAGAGGAGGCAAAGATGAAAGCTGAAGATCAGTAAGGAAGCCATTGCATTAACTCAGGCAAGAGACCTTGATGGCTTGAGCCATGATTTAGTGCAGGATGGTTCTCCAGGTCACTTGGGCTTGACCCTGTTCTCTTCCCTTTGTCACTTTTAGTTTGCAGTTCTGTTGAGCTTTGGGGCCAGCTCACTATGAATTTTAGGCTGCTGTTGATTTTGCTGCCTATTTGTTTGGTTTTTGTTTGTTTGTTTGTTTGTTTTTGGCACCAGGGATCGAACTTGGGGCCTTGTGCTTGCAAGGCAGGTGCCGGAACCACTGAGCTCAATCCCCGGCCCTTGCTGCCTATTTGTAGGCTACAGACCCACCCGCTGTACATCACTTATGGTGTTCTGTCTCATGAGACTCAGATACATTGGTAACCAATGAACAATGAACCTGCTTCACAATGGAAGCAGAAGTGATGAGAAATATCAAGATTCTAGATATATCCAATAGATACAGCCAAAAGGATTTAATGACACATCGATTTAGGCTGTAAATGAAAGACAGGGATGATTTCAAGGCTTCTGAATAACGGGATGGGTGAAATTATTAACAGAGATGGAGATATTTTGCTTCAGCAGAGGGCAAATGTGAATTTAGACATCCTGTTAGACATACAGGTGGAGATATTGAAAGCTGAATGTCTGAAACTGGAGTTTAGTAGTGATCTTTGCTGAAGATACAAATGTTGGAGTTATCAGCCTGGATATAGTATTTAAACCCATGGACTTGAATGAGATTAATAAAGAAGGAATAGAGAAGGAATGGAGTCCAAGGACTAAGCCCTGGAGCCCTTCAGCATTAAAAGGGCAGGCAGAAGAGGAGGAACCAGGACAGGACACTGACAGCAGGCAGCCAGTAAGAAATTGAGCTCATGGAAGCCAAGGTCTGTGAGGGAAGAGTGAGCAACAAATCCAGTGTTGTTGAAAGACATCAGTAATGTGCTGTTGCTGAATAATAAAACTGAGTGGTGGGTTTGCAGGTGTTCATTATATGATTCTCTACACTTTCTATTTGTTTGAAATATTTTATAAAAAGTAAAATAAAATTAATAAAACAGGGAAAAGGACAAAAATTTTAAGGAAATTTCGTAAGAGTTACGATTTTGATGTATCTTGCCTCTGTCCTTGAAGTGAGATTCCACTTCCTGGGGCATGCTTTGTAGTAGTGAAATTATCTAATTTAGAATTAAAGAAAGTGATACCTTTGTTAAGCATTTCACACTGTGGCCCCAGTATAAAGACAAGGAAACAAAACACCTTGAGGGACAAATGTTGTGGCCCCAGTATAAAGACAAGGAAACAAAACACCTTGAGGGACAAATGTTTTATTGTTCAACTCGCCCTCAGGTAGCAGAGCCTGGCCCCTGGGAATCACTCAACAAATCCTTTGTGAAGGAACAAACTGATTGGTGAAGAGAATCTCAGGGTCTGTGTTTCACCTAAGGCTCGTTTGACACATAATATTTAAGTCCTCTGATGAGGATTTTCTTTTTTTTTTTTCTCGGTACCGGGGAATTGAACTCGGGACCTTGTGCTTGCACGGCAGGCGCCAGAACCACTGAGCTAAATCCCTGGCCCATCTGATGAGGATTTTCTTAGTCCATTCAAGCAGCTATAACAAAATACCATAGACTTGGTGGCATATAAGCCACTGGGAAGTTCAAGATTAAGGTCATCACTTATATCCAGAACACAAACTCCACAGAATTCGGGAAATTGTTGCTTTAACCTACATACATTTTAAGTCAGGAGGTGAAGAGACATAGAAGGAGGTGAGAATAGTAGCTAAAAAGTTAAATTCGTGACTAGTATAGTCCATTCCTACTACCAATAATTGTTCAAGCAAACAACAAAATTACACCCCTGCTGAACACAACCATTTCCCCCTTAAAATGAAAACATGCTCATCTTACCCCTTAAGTCTTTGTTCTCATTATTACATGATGAGACCATCCTTCATGTCCTATTTTAGTCACAATCCCCCTTAAGACTAACTTAGAGTATCTTATAAAATTAACCACCAACTACCAACGTTATACAAAAAGAAAAGGAGCCAGGGATTTAGCTCAGTGGTTCTGGTGCCTGCCTCGCAAGTGCAAGGTCCCAAGTTCGATCCCTGGTACCAAAAGAAAAAAAAAAGGAGAAACAATGAAAAGAAATCCATTTTTCCATACAAAAATAAAGCACAGGAGAAAAACTTGCAGAGCTTTTATGATTCTTTACTCTGCAACTGATCCTAAGTCCATAGTTATTATTTATTAACTTCTTCCTTCCATGTTCCTTTTGCCCTCAGAGAGCTTTCCACCTAGTTCAGTGATCCAAACCTTCAACCCCAAAGGGTCTGCTTGCATTGGACAGGAGAAGATTCCCACCAACATCTACTGTAAAACATGGAATTACCATATGGAACCCCTGGGTTGAAGATTTATTCCATTGTGTATCTAGGACACTATTTGCCCTTGCTAAGAGATATCAATAACCCCACTGGTTCAGCAACCCCCTATTTCCATGATGGCTCAATGTCACAAGAAACCTACAATGTCCAGATGCAGTTCCAATTCCCTTCAAGGAACTTTGGGGAAATAGAGCTTGAGGTCATGGAAACAGAGGTGCTTATTTCAGAATGTGTGGTCAGGCCGAATTGCGGGAGAAAACCCTTCCACTTCCATTCTCTCCCAGCTGTGCATTCTGTCCAGGAAGAAACAGCAGGCTATTTGAGAGCACGGTACTCCAACTTTCTATATTCCTCCTGCCTGGAGCTGTTACTGAGTCTTCCTATAAGGCCAATTGCTTTGGGGTTCATGATAAAACCACTGAAATCTCAGGTACTTGGGGTACTGCCTCACTTCTTTTTCCTGGAATTTGGTCTTCCAGGGACCACGAAGGTGAACAAGACTCTCGCCATGTCCAACAAAAATGTGCTGGCTGAGACACAGCAGGAAGGAAAAGCACACTGTGTAAGTATTTATTCCATGGAGTATGGGGAATAACTCTATTACTCCAAAAAGAAAAAAATCCCTGCCCCCTCCCTCTACGATGAAAAGGCCTCCTGCAACCTAACCAGTCGGCCACCAGGTGGCTGCGGGGCTCCGCTGGAGTGGGTACCAGCAGAGAGGGCGCTTTTGATAAGGCCCTCTTGGTAAACTCCCATTCCAGCTGCCGCAGCCTCTAGTTTACACGAGCACGGGAGCAGCTGGGAGAAGGCTGACAGGGAAGTCTTCTTGCTCACCTCTTTCTCGAAAGCTCAGAAGAGGATGTCTTTGGTGGTTTCACTGGTGTGGAAAATTGAGATGGGTATTTTGACATTTACAGGCCTCGACTTGAACTGCGTCCTGGCTTCGCCACCAACACGAGGCGGTGCCCCGAGTGAATCACTCAGTTACTCCTCTTATAAACTGAGCCTAGAACCCACCCCCTCCAACCCATCCCCAAAAGATGCGCTGAAGGGTTCAAGGGACCCCGGATCCCAGAGGCCGGCAGCGCAGCGAGCAGTGATCTGAGTTGCTTCTCCGCTGGGGCAGAGGCCTCCCCGCCCCAGCCGGGGCTCCGCGCGCGCTTAGGGCCGAGGCGCGATTTCCCGGGACCTTCAACCCCGGCTCGCCTGTGCCCCCGGGCTGAGAAGGAGCGGGTCACCGGGGAGGCGGAGTCCGCGGAGGAAACGAAACCGAGAGAGAACGGGCGGCAGGCGGCAGGCGCCGGCGGGGAGGTCCACGCTGCAGCACGCAGACGCGGGTCGCCAGCCCAGGGCCCCGGGTGCTGTTCAGCCTCGGCCTCCTGGGCGCAGAGCCCTTCCGGGAGCTGGGGAAGGATCGTGCGACCAGGTAGGCATTGCGAGCTGTTTGTTTCCCGGGGAGACTGTGTCTCTCCCGCAGCGCTTGGCCGGGCTGGGGTAGGGATGGGAGAGGGGTTCCAGAGAAAAACGGACAGGCCCAGGGACTTCACAGACAGCTGGGAAATTGAGAGGCCTGATTGCCCATAAATCGGCTAAATTATACCTGGAAAGTTACAATAGTTTCTCAACTGCCCGGCCTCAGCCCCCTCCGCCCCCTCCCGACACCTCAGCAGCCTGTGTCAGACCTGCCTCAGGGCTCCGCATCTCCTCAGATCCGGGCAGCCTTTATCAGGGCTCACAGGCAAGGCCCCCTGTGCCCTCCACTCTGGCCACACGCACTCTCTTGCTGTTGGTGGGGCAAGCCAAGTGCTGCCCGGCCGCTCGCCCTTTGCAGTGCCCGTTTCTTCTTCCTGGAAATCTCTCCCGCTAGACGCTTAAAGGAAGTCCCTCCCTTAATTTTTCTTCCCAGTTTAGCCTGAGCAGCCTTCCCCAACAACCTGGACAGGAAAGAAACCGTGCTCCACCCTTCCTGTTTCTGCCTGTGCTCCAGTAACTTTTGTCTTTTAATGTTTGTCCGAATTTGTCCACTAGTGAGTCCACAAGAGTAGAGTTTTGTTCCCTGGTAGAACCCCGGCACCTGGTACCTAATAGGTGCTCATAAAATATTTTTCTCACATGAATGGTAATTCATAAATACTCTTGGGTTCCAGAAAAACGAAACTTCTTATTGTCCATGTTTTCTTTGGTCCTAAAAATGCCTTGCCAGCTGTAAACAAAAAGATACACTCTATGCTGTCACTTGGGAACTTAAAATCTTGGGCAAGTTATGTTCTTGTTCCTTGCTTTGGATATTTGAACCTGTAGAGCCAAAACACTGTATTTGTAGTTTATTCATTTGTTAATTAGGCGCTAGTTGAATGCGTGTTATACGGGAAGCTGGAAGGGGCTCAGCCCAGCGGGCCCTACTGTCTGCTGGAAGGGAATGGAGGGAGGGTATGAATAAGATGACAAGATTTTTAGTGATTTGGATGGAGATTTCTTTAGGAAGATGAGGTCCACCCAAAGAGCCCACTTATTAGTTTACAGAGCAGTCAAGGCCTTGGTGAGGTTTGGGCAAGGTGGACTGGTGAGGAGGTACTAGCTGCCCCTCCAGCATCAAAGAGGGCTGTGCTGACCCAGATATATGAATGGAAATTGCCCCCTTGATAGAGGATGCATTCGGCAGGTGAAAACTTTAGGATCAAGGATCTGGAAATATTTTGGTATTCATTCATTCATTCATTCATTTGTTCGTTCATTCATTCATTACTGAGCCCTTATTGTAGTCTTGATGCTTTCCTTTTTGTAATTCTTGGCCTGTTTTGGAAGCTAGTTAAGTCCACAATTGTAATGAAGAAACAACGGGTGTGAAAGTGCCTGGGGTTCTGAGCTGGTAACTGTGGGCAGTAGCAGCTGACCAGGCAAAGGCAGCACAAGGGGCAGAGTCAGGAACAGTTCAGAAGGGAGAGGATTAGGCAGAGGCAAGTGGGAATGAAGGAAAGGGTGGGTGGTGGAGGTGGACTTTTTTTGTTATTGTTGTTTTTGAGGCAGGGTCTCCCTTTGTAGTTCAGATTGGCCTTGGACTCAATGTGTAACCCAGGCTGGCCTCAAACTTGCAGAAGTCCTCCCACCTCAGCCTCTGGAGTGCTGGGATTACCGGTGTGCACCACCATGCCAGCAGGAGGTGGGCTTTTGAGAAGCATCATTGTTTAGGTGCAATTTAAAGCCACAAACCTGGAGCTGATCATCAGGAGAGTGGATGTAAGTGGAGAAGAGGAGATTTAAGGACCGGGTCCCTGGACACTAGTATAGAAGAAACCCAGATGTAGAGGAATCAGGAAAGAAGGTAGAAGAGGAAGCTTGTGAGGAAGGATGAAAACCAGCAGAGTAGCTGTTTTAGAAGTCTGAGCTTAGAAAGGGAGAACAAGGAGAAGGGAATGAGCAATCAAATGTTGACAAGGACCAAGAACTGACTACTGATTTTACCAATGGGGCAGCCATTGGTAACTTTGACAAGAATAGTTTGGGTGGCTCATGTAATTGGATTGATATCTTTAAAAGATCACAAGGTGGCTACTGTTTTAAAAAAAAAGGAAAATGACAGCTGTTGGTGAGGATGTGGAGAAACTGGAACCCTTCTGCATTGCTGGTAGAAATGTAAAATGTTATAGCCACTTTGCAAACTAATTCAGCAATTCCTTAAAAAGTTCAACATAGAATTACCATATGATTTAGCTCTATTTCTGGGTATCTACCTAAAAGATTTGAAAGTAGACACTTAAACAGATATTTATATGTCAGTGTCCATAGTACCATTATTCACAGTAGAGAAAAGGTTGACGTAACCTTTGACCATCAACTGATGAATGGATAAACAAAATGTAGTATATATGTAACCAATGGAATATTATTCAGCATTATAGATTCTGACACATTCTACTATGTGGACAAACCTTGAAGATATTATGCTAAGTGAAATAACCAGACATTTAAGGACAAATATTGTGTGAGTCCAGTTTATGAGATCACTAGAATAGGCAAATTCATAATGACAAAAAAAATAGGACAGACACTAGTGAGGGGAAGAGGAAATAGGGGAATTATGTTTAGTGAATTTTACTTGGGAAGATGAAAAGAGTTCTGGATGTGGATTGTGGTAATAGCTACATAACTTTGTGCATGTAATTAATTCTGATGTATTTTGTACATTGAGAAATCATTAAAAGGATGAATTTCATGTTATGTACATGTACTAGTCAGCTTTCCATTACTATAACAAAATATCTGACTTTATTAATTTATAAAGAAAAAGGTTATATTGGCTCACAGTTTTGGAGATTCCAGTCCAAGTTGAAGTAGCCTCATTGCTTTGGGTCTCTGATGAGGCACCACATCATGGCAGGAGTATATGGCAGTGCAAACCCCTCACCCAGGAACCAATAATTAAAGAGAGGAGAGAAGGCCAAACATGATGGTGCATGCATGTAATCCCAGCACTCGGGGACACTGAGGCAAGAAGACTGCAAATTTTAGCCCAGCCTGGGCAAGTTAGTGAGATAGTGAAATAGAGTCTCAAAATTTAAAAAAAAAAATTTTTTTAAGGGCTGAATGAGAAAAAGGCTCAGTGAGAAAATCCTGGCTTCAATCCCCAGTTCAGAGGGAGAGAGAGGGAGAGGGAGAAGAAGAGGGAGAGAGGAAAGGGAAGAAGAAGAAGAAGAAGAAGAAAAAGAAGAGGAGGAGGAGAAAGGCAACTGGGATCCCACAGTCCCCTTCAGGGGTGTACCCCCAATGACCTAAGGACTTTCCAAAAGGTCCCATCTCTCAATAACTTGTCCTTGGGCCAAGCCTTTTACACATGGACCTTTGGGGAACACTTACCCAAAGAATAGCATGTATTTTTATTGCGATTCTGAAAATTTGAAAATGCCTTAGATGATGATCCCTGCAGGGTAGAGAAGGAATTAAAGTGGCTGTTAGCAGTGGTTCTGAGGTTCTTGTTTCAGCCCAGGAGTGAGACAGTGATGAGGATGGTGCCTGTAGATATCACTGAGAAGTAGAGAGATTTTTGGTGACAGGTTTTAGTTATAGATTGGAAGGTAAGGAGACCAAATGTCAAGACTGCCTCCCAGATTCATGGCTTTTGGACCTGGAGGGATGCTGTCATGTATAAGATCCCATTGGCAAATAATCCAAGATCATGAAGAGTCACACTTAGGTTTTCTTCTAAGAGTCTTACAGTTTTGACTTTTACACATAGATTTTATATCTTTTAAATTTTGTTTGTGATTTAAATTATTGCTACCATCTTTGTTTAGTGCGACCTAAGAACTGGGGTCTCAATTTACCTAATCAGTGTATTAGTCAGCTTTATGCTGCTATGACAAAATTCTTTTTTTTTTTCTTTTGAACATACAAAGTTTTATCTTTGTATTTTAAAATAAAATAATTTGTTTAATTTTATTATTTTAAAAATTAATTTTGTTGTTACACTTTTAATATCTATAATGATAACATTCATTGTAGGGAATTTGTACCTGTACATAATATATCTTGATTCTTCTTTTTTCTCCATTCCCCTCCCTTCCCTCAACCCTTCGTCCCCTCCTTATTTGAGAAAGCTTTGTTTCCATTTTTTCTTCCATTCTCTTTGTTTTTCTTTTCCTTTTCCTTCCCCTTTTTCCTTTCCTTCCCTTCTCCCTCCCTCCACCTTTGTTCTCCTTCCGATTTGAACATTTTCTTCTGACTTTCCAATATCTATCATCCATTTTGATCCTTATTTACACTTTTGTTTTCTCACACAAAAGAAACAATGTGATATTTAAACTGATGTGTCTGATTTATTTCACTTAAAAGTATGGTCTTGAGGTACATCCATTTACCTAGAAATGTCTCAAGTTTATCCTTCTTTATGTCAGAATTGTACTACATTGCATATAAAAATCACATTTTTTTAATCCTTTCGTCAATTGTTGGGCATCTGGGCTGTTCCCAAGATTTGGCTATTATAAGTTGTGCTGGTATAAACATGGGTTTACATATATCGCTGTGCTATGATGCTTTGAACTCTTTCAGGAAGATACCAAGAAGGGGTAGTATATTGAATAGGAGTGGTGACAGTGGACATCCTTCTCTTGTTCCTGATTTTAGAGTGAAAGCTTTCAATTTTTGACCATTTAGTACAATGTTGGCTGTTGGCTTGTCATAGACGGCTTTTATCAGATTGAGATAAAGACCTTCCATTCCAATTTTCTGTAGAGTTTTTCATTATGAATGGGTGTTGGATTTTGTCAAATACTTCTTCTGCATCTATTGAGATGATCATGTGATCTTTATCTTTGGTTCTGTTAATGTGGTGTATTACATTATGCCACATTACGATCTCATTAGTGATCCATAGATGATGTTAGTGACCTCATGACCCAAAGATTTCCCAAAAGCCCATCAGCAACTAAATCCTCAACAATGAGCCTTTGGGGGAATGTTTCAGAATCAAACCATTAAACTTGAGAAATCATCTTAAAGTTGATTTCTGTGCATGTCAATGGAGGATTTGGGAGATTTCGTAGGGGAAATCTACTTCCATACACCAAAAATCCTTCATGATTTCATAAATTTCACTTACGTATATAGTGAACTTTGTTCTCAATGTAAAATTATCAATTCTACTCTTGCACCTTTTTTACCTTCCCCAATGAGTGGACAGATTTGCACTTGACCCTCAGAGGAAGTAGACAGCAGAGTAAAGAGAAGGGTCTTTCTTCTTTCTTTGGCCACTTGAGTTCTGGTAGTAGAATGTTTTGGAGAAATTAGCATGATTGTGCAGTCCATAAGGGAGAAAGAGAAGTTTTGAAAGAATATTTTTTCTGGGGCTGGAGATGTAGCTCGATGGCACAGCACCTGCCTGGCAAACACACACTCACACACACACACACACACACACACACACACACACACAAGAATATTTTCTCTGAATTTATGTGGAGCTGAAATGAGTCATATAAAAGAAAGTGTCCCTACCCACTGCTGTCCTGTTGCATAGATTGATAAAATCAGAGTAAATGTGTTCTGTGAGTATCACTCATTCAAACATCTTTTCTTTTATAGGTTATCAGAAGAAATGGCCAATGGTTTTGTACCAGGTTTCTACATAGAAGAACTTAATAAATACCATCAGAAGAATGGAGTAAAAGTTTCCTATCAGGAACTGTCTGTGACAGGACCACCACACAGCTTATTGTAAATTGCTATCAAAAAGATATGTCTTAGGGGCTGGGGGCACAGCTCAATGATAGAGTATGTGCTTAGCATTGTGAGGCTTGGATTCAATCCCCAACACCAAAAGGAAAGAAAAAAGCTGTATTCTATAAATATAAAACTGGGCCATGACAACTCTGGCATAATTTTGAGGGCAATACTTTAGCCATTATAGCAAAGTTATCAGAGTTCTTTGAAAGTTCTCTTGATAGAAAGTGGTAGCCTCAGCTCACTCCAGCAAAAAAGAAGAAAAAGGGGAGCAAAAGTTTCTCCATGTTCAAGCTGTGCCATTTTGCTACTTGGGGGTGGCTGTGTAAATTCTATACTACACATGGATTGGAACTTTTAAAGGCAGTGGTGATCGGAGACTTGTCCTTTCCTAATTCATGAGCTGTATAATGACTTGAATCTTCCCTTTGTAATCAGGTTTACATTTCAAGTTACTATAGATGGAAGAACATTTCCAGAAGGCAAAGGTAGATCAAAGCAGGATGCGAAAAATGCTGCTGCCAAGTTAGCTTTTGATGTACTTACTCAAGAAAAAAAGGTAGATAATTGCTTTTTTTCCTATTAAAAGGGAACTCACAAATAGTTTGCATTTTTATGTAAAAAAATACCCACATATAGAGTAAAGCTCTTTACAAATTCTTTTACATCTAAGATTGTATGTAGTTCAGTCTTTTTTTTTTCTCTGTCTCCATTTCTGTGAATCCCTAAGAAACAGTGGGGAAAGGTGAGTCACACTTACAGTGCCAGCAGCAGTTAAATATTCTAAAGTTGGGGCCAGGAACGTAGCTCAGTGGCATAGCACCTGCCTGGCAAAGGCAAGGCCCTGAGTTCAATTCTTGGTACCAAAAAAAAAAAAAAAATCTAAATTTGAACAAATGTAGCAAGGGAGAAATGTTCGGTAAGATGTGAGCTTACAAGTCCTGGGAGGAGTCTCCTCCACCTGATTGAAAAAGTTCAATGGAAATGGGAAAAGATGTAAGTGCTTGTAGGGAGAATAATGTACAGAAGGACAAATAATGGAGAACCAACTTAATATAGTTGGTTTCCCTGAAGATGTGAATGTAGTGGTAAATAGTACAGAAAAGAGCTACATGAGGTGGGTGTGTAGCTCAGTAGTAGAGTGTGCCTAGCATGAAGGAAGGCTTGGATGTGATCCTCAGCACAAAGCAAACAGATAAAACTATCTGAAGAAATTTCAGCTGAAAATATATATGAATTAAAGACCTGACTGCAGCTAAAATAACTCACTAGATGTAGGAAAATGCTAAGCCTCCAAGAACAATACTGATGCTTGTGAAAATACTGAGCTCTAAGGAGGAAGGAAGAACTCTACAAACATCTAAGTAGAAGAAACATAAACGAAATGTAAAATTGAAAAAAAGTCACTCTGTCTACTACGTTAAAAGTCAGGAGACCGTAGAGAAATGGTTATAAAATGCGACAGAAAACAACTTACATCTGAGACTACAGATCATTCTCAGATACTGAAAAAACTGGAGGAATTTGGCTATCAAGATAACTTTCCTGAAAAACCTTTTTTTTTTTTTTTGTACCAGGGATTGAACTCGGGACTTTCTGCTTGCGAGGCAGGCAGCAGAACCACTGAGCTAAATCCCCGGCCCATTGCTTTTCAATACTTCCTGCTGCTACATGTTTTCCCACTGGTTCTTGGTGAGTCACTTGGGTGTGAAAAAGTAGGCAGACTAAGAAAACAACATAGTTAAATTATAATGATTGTGGAAGTCTTTGGGATTCCCTGAT